TTTACTATTAATCCATTCTATTGAGAGACTAAATATATTGGTTAGGGCTACCACCACTACACAGAGCTCAGGCAGAAATGTGATGACATCCTTGGTTTCCTGAATTCATTAAAATGTTGTAGCTTGTTTTCTAAAGCATTGTGCCTTTGCAAAAGTGTTCCTAGTCCTCCTTCATTACACAGGGAAAAGGCAGCCTCTGATCTGCAATATGAGGACCGATCAACTTTGGTCTTTTCTGCTCCTTGGTTTCAGTTGGGGCCACTCCACTTTTTTGCTTGTGGAGTTAGTGAGCAGATGGGGGGAGCTCAACCTCCCCCCCCAATCTTGTTTTGATTGTCATATTCTAGCACCCCTCATCAGAGCTGAAATTGGAATCTGGTAACAGGGACCCTTATTGGCTAGAATTACATTCTTCATTTTTAGTGTGTGTGTGTGTGTGTGTGTGTGTGTGTGTGTGTGTGTGTGTGTGTGTGTGTGTGTGTAAAAACTACTATTAAGTGGGATATGTGTGCTCTTTTGTGCTCATTGGGAAAAACAAACACTACGCAAAGAAGTGGCCATCCTCTGGATCCTCACCCAGGCTTGGCAAAGTTCTCCTGAGCCACTAAGCTCAACTGCCTCATTAGATAAAGACTGCTTAGTCTCTGGTTGGTGTCTTCTGGGCAGCTCTGCCATGAAGAAGAGGAGTAAAGCGACCTGTCAGAGAAGCATTACACTTGAAGACCCAAAAAGCAATGGTCTCCAACCATGCTCTGAAGGGGAGAAGAAATGTGAGAGCGTGAAAAGACAAGGAAATAAGTTTGTTCCTATCCAAAGGCCCCAAAGGGAATCAAAAGGTTAAGGCAACAAAAGCGGGAGAGACCTGACCCACTGAGCTTTAGCCAAATGCCACAAATTGATCTTCAAGTCAACAAAAGCAAGAAGGTCATGATTTTGCCCCAGAATTCAATTCTAACAGCCCTTAATTCCATTGATACCCAAGCAGTGACAGCTCGATCAGAGAGTCATGAACTGGATTGGAAGAAATGTTAGAAATTCTTGGTGCTATACACAAGGTAATCCAAGCCCCAAAAAATCATTAAAATGCTGTTGAGGACTGAAATATCCGACTTGTTACCTGAGTTTCTTAAATCTATATTTTAAAAAAGAGTAAACATTTCTTTTTATTATCTTTTAGACATTGCAATCATGAAAAATTAAATCCCGCCAGCGGGCGGATTTCAAACTGGAACCTCTGGAGCGAAGTAGAGGAGCCTCTACAAGCCTCTACCCTCTGAGCTAAAAGACAGCTAACTCCCAGCCCATGCTGTAGAGGTCTCTTGATCTTAACTGTTGATGTGGTCTAGGTGCCACTGCATTGCTCATTAACCACATTAGGTATGTGGGTTACATACTTCCCCTAGGTGAGGAAGCGGGTCCCGAGCTTCAGAGACCCAGCTGAGATAACGGACGAGCCCCCACTTGTAATCGCCACCAGCGGATTTGAATCTGGGACCTCTGAAGTGGAGTATAGGAGCCAGTTCACTCCCAGCCCATGCTGTAGAGGTCTCTTGATCTTAACTGTTGCTGTGGTCTAGGTACCACTTGCATTGCTCAGTAACCACACTAGGGGTATGTCTAGACTACATGGCTCCATCGACGGAGCCATGTAAAGTAGTTTACTTGGCATAGTCAATGATGCAGGGATTTAAATAATCCCCACTTCATTAAAATAAAAATGGCTGCCGCGCTGTGCCGACGATCAGCTGATCCAGCACAGCGCGGCAGTCTAGACGCAGCACGGTCGACAAGGGAAGCCTTTGTCGACCGCTCCAGTATGCCTCGTGAAGGTACTGATGATTGCAGAAAGTGGTACAATGAATGTAGTAAAACGAGGTGCTTGTTTTCATTTTCCTGTAATGTGCCGAGTATTTGAAAATATTTGTTGCATCAGCAAATTTCAACAGAAACTTGTTGAATGAGTAAAAGGGGGAAAGACAGGATGGTTGGAGGAACATTAACAGAATGGTTGGGGGAACATTTTTCTTAAAAAAATAAACACTGCAAGTAATTTGTTTAACAATACATATTGTAATAAGTTATTTGAGATGTTTTGAAGGTATTAAGATAATTTTCCATTTCAATCTATTTTTATAGGTTGGCAAAATAAGAAATTGAATTTATGAAATGTTCATAACTATTATAAGTCCTAAAAGCAAACATGTATTGCAAATGTAGATAAGGATAATTTTTAATTATCATTTCTGACACAGATTAGTATTTAAAATAGCCTGTTTTATGACAGGAAGTTAATAAGCCAAACCTGTAAATAATTGTTGTAAAAATGCTTGCAGTCAGGGTAACAGATAATATTTGCACAGAGAAGATTTACAGACACAACCTTCATGCAGCTCCATCCAAGCAAACAATTAGAAACATAAGCAAATTTATATTTCTTTGAGTAGCTATTTAAACTCACATTTAAGAAAATTTCAATATTGTTTCTCACCACTCTCTGTAGAGTGACTCAGTTTAGCATGCCACCATATATGTTTTAATGAATACAGGCAGTCCCCAGGTTACATCGGATCCCTACTTACAAACGGGGTGAGGCAACCCCACACTAGCTGCTTCCCCCCAGCAGACCAGGGAGACACAGAGCGGCTTTTCTCAGCAGCCACCTCAGCTTGAGAATAAAGGACTGAGGGAAGTAAGGTGTGGGAGAATAAAACTGAGCTCTGGAGAAATGTTTGGCTAGAGTTTCCCCTACAATATGTACCAGTTCCGACTTACATACAAATTCAACTTAAGAACAAACCTACAGTCCCTATCTTGTACGTAACCCGGGGACTGCCTGTACTACAGTTAGACTATGGTTTACCAACAGAATACTGAGATTGCTGCTATAAACAGTTTCCCCATGTTAGGTAGCTATTATTATTATTTATACAAATATTAATAAAGTAGTACAGAATGAGCATTGTTCACTCAGGTTATTGTAGTACAATTATTCTATCTGCTCCCAAAAATGG